TTTCATGTTACTGAGAAATAGTGGATGAAAGTATCACTACTGGAGTGACATTATTCAGTGGTAACTCTTCTGCCAATGATAACTGATGGTATCCTTGGGTTTAGTGGATTGTGTGTGCATAAAAGTAATGTTTCTAAATGATTCAAATTAATTGTCCTTTTTTTTCCCAAACATTGGTTGGCTTGACTATGTCACAGCTTTCTAATTCTTAGTAAATCATTCAAAATGCAGCATTCTTATTTGCCGTCAAACCCTGTTAAGTGAGAGGGTTATAACCAGCCCTCCAGACATCGAGAGCATAGTATCAAAATGCATTGAGCGACTTTTGGGGGTCTTGGACAGTGTTGAAGATGCAGGTATGGAAGAAATTGTTGAATCAATTAGTGATTTTGCGAATGACAGCAAGGAAGTTGTGGACACTGAGAAGCTTCGGTCAAGGAAGGCAGTTATTGGCAGGATGTTAGCTAAGAGCTTGCAAGCAGGAGATCCTGTGTTTGAAAGGGTTTCCCGTGCTGTTTATATGGGTGCAAGAGGAGTGGTTCTTGGGGGTAGTGGACCAGTTGGAAGAAAATTAGCAGAAACAGCACTCCGGCAAGTTGGAGCTGCTGCACTGACTGACAGCGTAGTGGAAGCTGCTGAAGTTTTAGTGGTGGCAGCCACCATATCAGTTAGTGTTCATGGTCCCTGGTATATACATCTGACTGATAACATGTGATGAAGTGGGTTTGTTAAAAATCACTTGGTCGTACAGAAAAAATAAAATACACATGTATATAGTAGTGTGTGTTGTGTGGAAAGGCAGTGTTAAAAGCTAGTTGTAGATGTATGTAGATGTGCAGATGTAAGGTATGGATATTGATTCTTTCATGTAATAAAACGAGATGTGAATATGTTCTAGACTGAATTTAAGGTGCTCTGTTTATTCTGATTCAGCATTTCTTCATGTTTACGTATCAGTAATGGAGAAACTAAGGAATCAGAGAATTTAGGAATCGGAGAACTACTGAATCGGTATGGGAAGAATTATTCCCATGCATGTTTACGTATCAGTAATGGAGAAACTAAGGAATCAAAGAATTTAGGAATCGGAGAACTACTGAATCGGTATGGAAAGAATCATTCCCATTAAGCTGTTTACTAAACATATGGAATTAGCAATGGAATGGGATTGATTCCCATTGTTATTGTTTACTAATTTGCATGAATCGGAATCCAAATTCATTTTAGAATTATGGTAAAGTGATAAGGGTATTTTTGGAAGTTATTAAGAGAAAACAGGAATGGGAATCGTATCGACTACTCCCCCCTAGTTGATCCGATTCCTAGTTTTGAGGGAATGTGATTACGGATTTTGAGATGGGGCCCACTTATTTTTTCATTTCTGATTGCAAGTAAACGCAGGAGAAGACAGGAATGGAAATCATTCCCTTTCCTTCCATACCCATTACTGATACGTAAACATGCTAGTATGGAATTAGCAATGGAATGTGATTGATTCCCATTGTTATTGTTTACTAATTTGCATGAATCAGAATCCAAATTAATTTTAGAATTATGGTAAAGTGACAAAGGCATTTTTGGAAGTTATTAAGAGAAAACATGAATGGGAATCGTATCGACTACTCCCTCTAGTTGATCTGATTCCTAGTTTTGAGGGAATGTGATTACGGATTTTGAGGTGGGGCCCACTTATTTTTTCATTCCTGATTGCAAGTAAACGCAGGAGAAGTCAGAAATGGAAATCATTCCCTTTCCTCTCATTCCCATTACTGATACGTAAACATGCCCTATAGTATTTGGAAAGGGTTGTGTGATGATTGAATGAGTTGGACCAGAAAAAAAAAACAGTAAAATATCAAAAACCCGGGTCGGATTAAGTAAATATCTTGACTTCATATTTTTCAGTCAAGACGTCTCGGTAACTTTGGAGACAATTTTGACTACACCAACCAAAATGCCACATATCTTATATTGCGTCAATCTTGCATGTGATGTAGTTGCAATTAAAAAAGGAACCGTGATGCTCTCTGCTTCTTTGCAACAAAAGTTGCATCTATTGATACCTCTCGTTACCAGATAGGGCTCCTGATTTCTTCCTTGACAAGTTGACATGCGTAGTGGAAGGTCTTGGGAACGAAGAAACTCCCAGATTTTTTTGCTGATCATTTCACTACCCTTTCTTTCCTACCGTCCAACATACTCCACCGAAACCTTGATAAAACGCCAATGCACAAGGAATTTTTCCTTTGAAGTTTTAATTGCAAGGATCGGTTTTTGTCGTTGCAAACATATTAAGGGCTCGTTTGGGAGTGATTCTAGATAGGCCAAAAATTACTTCTATGGAGAAGCACGTGGGAAATGCTTCTCCCCAAAAGTGATTATGGCCTATTTAGAATCAGTCCCAAACGAGCCCTAAAGCTCACAACAGGGGCCTTTTCCACTAGGCTGCCAGCTGGATCTAGCCTTTTGAAAAAGAGCCTTTGACTTATAGACCAGTGGTTGCAAATTTGAATTCTCACGACACTTTAGTTGGTACGTGTGTGAGAAACCCCCTCGCTTGTATTAAAAAAAGAATAGCAAGATTCAAGCACACAAGGTCTTTAATTCTTTGAAGCCAAGAGACTCCAACTCCCAGCAACTAGCAATTTCAATTCTCATATGCTTTGTTAGCACGGTGAGCACACCAACCTGAGAAGTGGAGGCACTTCCATCTAAAGCACCTCTACGTTTGTAAGTTTTTCCTTTTCTTTTATTCTTGTTAAAGTTCAGATAGTGAAGAGAAGATCTGATGATGCACGTTAATTTTTAAGGTCAAAATGACCATTAAAATAATAAACTCAAGGGATATTCATGTCGGGTTGTAAGCACATTATTCAAGTGCTGAGTTTAGAATAAAACTAAAAATATGGTGACCATCAATTCTTTACTGCCCTCAAGTCAATTTCTCGTGAGACCAATCAGACCATGTAAGTACCATACATCCATATCCTCATCAGACTAATTAAGATTTTGGAAGACAAGATCTCCGCTGCTAACTCATCTATCTCTACCACAGCTTAGCCGGGAAAAAAAAATCCCCATCTCTATGCCTAGGGAAGCCGGCACAGCAGTAAAGCCCAACAATATACAGGAGGGTTACAATAGCTAGGGATCTGTCGTCAAATCAAATCAATGACCAAACGAAAACTTATAATATAACCGAGGGAAACATTTGCATTTAAGCCTCAAACCTGAAGCACTAGCTTTCAAGAATCACTATGAAAAATGGCATCTTTAAAGAGAGGATGCTTTTAAGGTCCAAATTCTCAAACTCTAACTTCCACCAGATTCACGTCATAGAAAGCAAGTTACCTACTGGAATACAGTCCGCTTGGAAGAGTGCACAGATCACACCTAATATCGGCTTCATTTCAAAGACATAAGAGTCATCATCAGTATATGTTTAGTATTCTAAACAAGGTCATACGGAACAACATACAAAGGAAATTGAAAATGTAATAGCATGAGACTAGCTCGCATCATGCTATATGGCAATACAGCAAATCAGAATGAAGAGGTGACTGCAAAAAGGGTGTATAGGATAGGAGACACCGACAAATTTGCCCAAGAAAAATCTTCACATATTTTCCAACTTTTTCTTATGCAGAAAAGTTAACCATAGTTTGGTCACACAATACAACGTGAAGGCAATATCAGTGGAACTAATCAAACGGACTTGTTAGGCTCACTTAAATGTGATGACAAAAACAATCCCAAGTTGCTCAACACTGTTGTCGCTTGATGTAAATAACAACTTACACCAAGGCAGATTTCCTAATATAACAAATACACTGACTTCGAAATGTTATTCCTCAGCCCCAACATTCATATTAACATTGATATTGCACTAAAACCTATTGTCAATAATTTACAGTCAACATAAACACGGGTTGTCCAAACCAAAATGATTCAACATCACACTATACCAACAATGATAACCCAAAAGGTAATGCCAAATTAATCACTGAAGGAATGCAAGTACCTAGGTAAATGAATCTGATTATTATTATTTTTTTCCCCAATATTTTGTTCTATGGTCCCACTAAAAAGCATGAGAGAGAGAGAGAGAGAGAGAGAGAGAGAGAGAGAGAGAGAGAGAGCGAAGTTAAGTTATAGACAGTTATTAGAAAACAACTTGTTTTCAAAAATGCATTATGAGCTTGAAAGCAACTTCCCAGCAACATGGTGAAAGCGTTAAGATTGTCGTTCAAGTAACAAATGAATGATAAATGCTTCAAATATGAACAATAACAGTACAAAAAATTATTTAAAAAAAAAATTGAAATGAAAATTCAGTGGAAAAAGATTAGTCTAAAAGATTGTTAGGTTATGGACCCAATTTGAAAGTTAATGAATTTTTTATTTTTGAAACAGCAGAAAAACGTTAAGAAGTTGAATCACTAGTCACAGCAAGAACAAAATAGCATAATAGAAGAGAAAATGCTTGGCACCAACATCTAATATACAAACTAAGTAACTTCGATACCTCAATTGGTGGTTATCCAGGGACAAGGTAAAACAAGTATATCAAGACCAAGAAGACAGCCACCACTACCCTTCAAACATAGATAGGGAAACCCATAAAACATAGAAGGCCCCAGAAATTAAATACCAACATGTATCTATTCTAACTGCTACACTTGTGAAAAAAGAGGAAAAAAGAAAAAAGCCCTTATAATACTTTACGCATGAGCAGTTTTAAACACTACTCCAACTCCAAATTTCTATTTATATTTAGAATAGACTGGGTTCCAAAAGTTATTCAATTCATCAACTACAGTACAGTAAATCAAATCCATAAGCTTAAAACATATGCAAGTCAACGCTAAGGTAACTACGTGATATCAGGTGGTTCTCAATGGCACAATAAAAATGTTGAACATTTGTATTTGTGAAGATATTAGCTGTAGAAAGTTAAAACATCTAAGAGACATGAGACATACCATCATCAGCCAGGCACCTCAGGTGTCATTTAATATCTGTACAAGAACCTTGTTTTTCTTGCCCGCGGATAAAAGGAGAAGTTTCCCATCCACAATGTCTTGAGGTTCAACTCTCTTATTTTCATTATCAACTCTTGAGTTGTTCAAGTAAAGCCCCCCTTGCTTCAACAGACGCCGGGCAGCAGATTTGCTGTCAAGCAAACCAGACGACACTGAAAGATCAACAAGAGAGAGATCCAGGACCTGATTATAAGGGAAAGAACAGGATGGCACATCCTCAGAAATAGCTTGAATGGTTTTCCAGTCCAATTTAGTGTCTGCACCAGGCCTCAACGCCTCAGTTGCTTTGAGGGCCTCATCAAGACCATCTTGACCATGTACAAAACGGGTGACCTCCTCAGCAAGCCTGCGCTGAGCCGTGTTGGGCAAGTATCCAGGCCCCTTCATCTCATTCTCCAACTGTTTGATCTCATCCATGTCCATGAAAGTGAGAATCTTGAGGAACCTGACCACATCAGCATCTGGAACAGAGAACAAATACTGATAAAATTTGTAAGGAGACAACATGGATGGAGAAAGCCAAACGGCACCATCTTCGGACTTGCCAAATTTGGTTCCATCACTCTTCAACATAAGAGGGAATGTCAAGCCATAAGCAGCAGCATCAGCACGAAGAATCTTGCGTATGAGTTCAGTCCCTGCTGTTATATTTCCCCATTGATCGCTACCCCCAATCTGAACATTAATGCCTTCGTTCTGGAAAAGGTAGAGAAAATCATAGCCCTGCAACAACTGATACGTGAACTCAGTGTAGCTCATTCCTTGTTCTGATTCCAACCTCTTTTTCACACTCTCCTTCGCGATCATGCTTCCCACTCTCGCATATCGACCCACATCTTTCAGAAATTCTAACAACCGAACCTCTTTCCACCACTCATAATTGTTCAAGATGGAAATCCCACCCAAAATTCTTGTAATGTTATTAGAAACTCCTGAGGTGTTTAGAGACAGAGTGTCCAGGTCAAGCTCAGGCCTCTCCAAGCTCTTTCCGGAAGGGTCTCCGATACGGGCTGTGGCGCCACCGATCAAAGCGATGGGCCGATGGCCGCATCTTTGGAACCATGAGAGAACAATAATTCCGAGAAGGTTACCTAAGTGCAAGGATTCAGCAGTTGGGTCGAACCCACAATAGACTTTGAGAGGAGGGAGACTGGGGTCTGAGCAGGCTTGCCTTAGATGCTCACTGGTTAGAGATTCAAGCAACCCCCTCTCTTCAAGAATTTCAACCACATTTTGACGCCCAGATGAGGACTGCAAACACTTGATGCTAGAGAGAAGGATTGGGTTCCGCAAGTTATTACGGTGAAGGGTGGGTAACCTAGATGCAGTAAGGAAAGAAGGAAAGAAGAATGGGAGGCTATGGTAGTGATGGGAGAAGAGAAAAGCCCTTGAAGTGGCCGCAGCAGCCATTCTCATATTCTTAGGCTAGTAATGAACAAAATTTCCTGCAAGCAAAAGAGAAATTTTCAGCACCTATAACATTTCTTTAATTTGTTCTAGGCAATCAGTAAGACTAAGATAAGGGAATAAATACAAACTAATAACCAGACCCAAAAACAAAATACATGATGATACCAAAAAGTTAATCTTCCTCCTCTGCATAGGATTTCTAGGGCTGAGGGAGACTTTAAAGATCAAAATGAGATATAATTTATACTATGTATCTCATCCCACTTGGGGAAGGGGGCAATATGTGTGTGAAGAAAAGATAAGAAACCCGATACAAAATGAGGGATTTTGGGTTTTTGTGTTGTGGCGCTGATTCTGTGGAGGAAGGACCACATTACAAGTACTCATTGACTCATTGAGAAATAGTCTTGGACATTGCGTTTTAGCATTCTTACATACTCTATTTCACAAATAACAGCATTAACTGCGGCCAAAGACAAATATTCAAAACATTATCAAAGCTCCAATGCACTCAAAGCAGAAGTCAGATAATCCGATTATTAATTTCTACCGTATTGAAATGAGATCCACAGATAAGAAAACAATTGAATCATTCAACAGTAACATTCAGAAACTAAACAAAAAATAAAGTTATCAAGGTTTGGAGTGTTCCACGCTTTCATAGAAACTGTGGTTTGGGTTTGTAGCAATTCAGTTTTCACTATAGTGCCAATCTAAAGAAAGATAATTACTCTAATTCTACAATGACTTGTATACCAGAAACATTGTACAGTTTAGCCCTTCTAGTAGTCTAAGTTATATTCAAACTTGAAGCAAAATCATAATTTCTGTGATATAAGGACAAACACAATTAGGCCACTGATTGGCCCAACAAAATTAATAAAGTATTGGGTGTGACATATGAAACCCAAGAGAATGAAGTGCCAGATAACCGTGCAGTCCATACTTAATAGTCGTATAGCAGAAGATCTTGCCAATTAAAAACTTCTAACAAAATCTGGCATAGATCATCACTTAATTGCGATAATAATAAGCTCTTTCAATTACCAAAGGTGAAGAAACGTTTCAGTCATTGCTATATCTCTGTGCTTTTCCAGTTATCAGTTCTTAGTGCTACTTCAAATCTTCCAAAGCACTGTCATTGAAAGGATTCAAAGACCAGACATTACAACTAAAAGGAAGCCCATTTATTCTTGAAATTGTAGTGCATGAGATATCTATGAGATTTAGAAGTTGTAAAGGAATTAAAATTTACAGTAACGTTAAAATGAGTAGCCAATTGAACAAATTCCACCCAAAACTCATATGAACCAAAGCCCAGAAGTACAGATTACAAGAAAATTAAGAACCAAAGCCTTTACATAGTACTTTTAAAGTAAAATAAGCAAAAAAAATATTCAGAGAACCAAAATTACTGACATCTTAAAAAATGAAAAACTGAAAAGTTGTTAACTTTTTGTTGATTTTGCAGAAAAAGTGGGGGGGGAAAAAAACAAAAGAATACAAAAATGCAAAAGCAAAAACCAGAGAACCCTAAAACCCCCTTTCTTATGTTTTGTAGGATGAAACCAAACAGGAATGCTTGGAAACAACGAACAAAATTGAGAGGAGCATTCCATAAAAAACATTACACCATTCAACATACATTTTCAAACACAATCTGCTTAATTGCTTGCCATTATATTTGTTCTGTTTCATTGAATAGATAGAGGAATTGGGTGTTCTTACTATCAGGAAAAATGAGCAGAGAGACGAAATTTATTCTTGAGCTTGTAAAGAAAGGAACAGAGGGCTCAGTGGGACTGTAGAAAATCCCCAATGTAAGAGTTCTTCCACTCAAATCATCCCCACATTCCCATTCAGAGACAAGAAAACAAAGCATGGGACTTATTCAATTACAATGGAAAACAAAATATGGTTGATTGGGAAAAGAAAGTATTGTGTAGGTAAAATAGAAAGAAGTGAACTTACCCCTTGAAGTTTATATAGGTATGAATGACTGGCAGTCATCAACCCAGTTATGCGAGGCAATTTGAAGATGGAAATGATTGTAAGATTTCATCTTTCTTCGCGGCCTTTTCTTTTGGCTAAGACAACTACTTCTGAAAAAACGATTATATATGAAGGTAAGGTGCGGGGCTTATTTGCGGGGGTTTGCTTTAATAGCCTTTGGATTGGATCCATGATAATTTGGTTAGAATAGAAAGAATGGGAGAAAAAAAAGAAAAAAAAGATGTTAAATAGTTTCGGGATTCAAATTACAAAAGAAACAAATATTAGGGGTATTAGTGAAGCGAGCCATTTTTTCCTTCGTATTAATTCGTTTTTGTAAAAATAGTTGGCCAAGTAAAATGTTTAATAGTCTCTTTATACCTTCCAAGTTTCTTTCTTGGCAAAAAATCACGACTCACTTATAGTTCCTATAGTTTCCAATTTTTATCACTGAGGTTTATGTGGTTTTAATTTCGTTACTTTTATCACTGTGTGATATTCAATTTCAAACAATTCAAAGACACTTCTTAATTTTTGTTAAATTCTCCTCACTTCCGTTAGGGCTTGATCTTGCCAAGATATTTAAGGTTCGTAATTTTTTTTGATTTCCTCGTGATTTCGTCTTCTAAGGTTTTGTGACTTGATCTAATCACAGGCCCAATTCTTTTCTTAGTCCAAACATTTGGCCCAGAGCTCTACCAATAACATATAGTCTATGCTAAGGGCTCGTTTGAGACTGCTTCTCTAGAAAGTACTTCTGCTCATAAGCGCTTCTAACAAAAGTGCTTTTATTATAAAAATCTTGAATTTTCATAAAAAAATTAAAGTGCTTCTGAAGAAGCACATAGCAAGTGCTTCTCCAGAAAGCACTTTTATGACCCAGAAGTGCTTTTAAACTTTGCTGTCAAACGCTGTCAGAAGCGCTTTTAGTTATCAGAAAGTGCTTTTGACCTTTCCAGAAGCACTCCCAAACAAGCCCTAAAGCACTTTTGGCATTCTAAATTGCCGTTTTGCTTCCATGTAGCATAATGAAAATCTCTGCATTGGATTCAAACCAGAGTGCACACCTGGAACGTTTCCTTTCTGTCATTTGATATGTCCGATGAAGTATTCGGCAAGATAGCCATACCACCAGAAGCTTCAGCACAAACAATTTCCCATCTTGCTCAAGGACATTTCATGGTTTCAAGGTACAGAGAGTCCCTTGCATATTATGAAAGCTCTCGGAAGTGGAGAGAAAGTGTTGGTTGTGGTTGCCTTGTTCACGTTCACATGTGGGTGATGGAAGAGTATGGTGTGGCCAAATCATGGGCTAACCTATTTGCAATATGCCTGGAACTGGATCTAGGCGTTTCTACACTGATTGGTTGTAGAAAAAGTGGTGAAGAAGTTGTGCTCAGAATCAGAATGATGGCTGACAACGGTGAATATCGGTCTGTGAACCCTAGGAAACGTGGAATTGAAGGACAATACGGGTGTTATGCGGTCATGGATGATTTAACACAGAGCGTTGTCTTGCTTGACCAGCCTAATGTATTTACATGCTAAAAGCAACAACATGTTGAATAATTTGATTTGAGTTAGAACTTAATTTTCACTTTCAAAAGTTAAGGTTTTCTTTTTATGGGGGCAGGAACATCAAAACTCAAATCAAACAGCTGATGATGGAGGAGCTGTCCTTGAGACCACGAATCCAGGTTTGAGCATTGCCGGATTGTTGCATTCTTCGTTATATACATAAGCCAATCCACCATGACTGGTCACATCCATTCCTGCCATCTCCTCCTCTGATGAAATCCTCAAGAGCTTCAACTTGTGCAGCAAGAAAAACAATGTTCCCATTGTCAAGCTCACAAACCCTACAATCACCACAATCTGAACCAAATGTGCAGCCAAGAGCTTTCCACCTCCTCCCATCAAAAGCCCATATGGCCTGTTTGGTTGCCCTGAATAGACTTCATCCACATAAGCCTTTTTGGCGAACAATGCAGTGAATATAATTCCCCATGAGCCACACCCTCCATGAAGCTGTGCTGCTTCTAATGGATCATCATACTTCAACTTTTCAGCAAGCTTGTTGCATCCCATCAAAACCCAAGCTGCCACAAACCCACAAATGATTGCAGCCCAAGGATCAACAACTGAGCAACCAGAGGTGATTGCTGCAAACCCGCCAAGCAGGCCATTGCACACGTCGGTGAGGTTCCAATGACCGGAGAGCAAGCGCTTCCCAAAGAGAGTAGTCAGTGCGGCTGAGCATCCAGCCATTGTGGTTGTCACTGCAGTTCTTCCTATTGCACTCCATTGTCCATAATAGGATCCACTCTCTCCATAGGCCTTGAGAATGTTGAGGAATGAGCCTGCATTGAAGCCATACCAACCAAACCAAAGCAGAAATGTGCCCAAAACAACCAATGTGCCGCTATGTCCACGCAGACCCACAGACCTACCTTCATGATCGAACCGGCCAATGCGGGGGCCTTCGATAAGAGCACCCCACAAGCCTGCTATGCCTCCAACCAGGTGAACAACACCAGAGCCTGCAAAATCAATGACCCCAGAACCAAATAAAAGATTGTCAGCACGAGCAGGGCTTGCCCATCCATCAGCAGACCAAAACCAATGAGAAACAATGGGGTAGACGAAGCCAGTCAAGAAAGATGAATAGATCAAGTATGCAACGAATTGGGTTCGTTCAGCAATGGAACCACTTGTGATTCCAGCAGCTGCAATGGCAAAAGCCCATTGATAAAGAAAGTAACCATAATCGAAAGACTGAGAAGGAAACTTGTTAAGGCCAAAGAAGTGTTGGCCTATGAAGCCATTGGAGGGGGTGCCAAAGGCCAAGGCAAAACCAAAAAGGTAGTAGAAGAGGCCGCCTGTGGCAGCGTCAAGGACATTGGTGAGCATTATGTTCATGGTGTTCTTAGCACGAACAGAGCCGGCACAGAGCATGGCAAAGCCGAGCTGCATCGCGAAAACAAGGTAGGCAGAGAAGAGAAGGTAGGTGTTGTCAACAGCATAGGCTGTGTCAACAAACTTGTTCGAAACAGCATCAAAGCGGCCGCAGATGTATTGGGCGGCTGCGGTGGCATTGGCAGCTGCACCCAAAAGGGGTTGGAGGTCAGAGGCTGAGCAAGAGATAGCAGCCATGGGAGAGACTAGAGGAAGATGGGAATGTGGAGAGGTGGAGAATCTGAAGGCTATTTATTGTGACAAAAAGATCCCGAGAAATTCCAGAGGTGGATGGCCAAGAATTAGGAGAATCTAATAGATTCCCTAGTGAAATAGAAGACCAGTGGAGACCAAATACGCTTAGGTCCGTAATTCCGTAACTGATTTTCCTCCTATTTTGGAGATCAGAAACTGTAAAGCTGTTACATTCTGTACTATATATCACCACGTGAGAAATTTAACCAAGCTAAATGAACGTTTCAAATTTTAATAAATGGCCAAAGAAAATAAAAAGGATATTTTAATGCGCCTGCTGTAAAATTCTTTCCTTTTGTGCATGAATAATTATGCAATGTATCATTACCTGGCTCCAATGTGTGAATATTCCATGCCTGATTGGTCAATTGCTATTCAAGTGTAAAATAAAAGACAAGGAAAAGTCTCAACCATAAGATGATAAAACAATCAGGAAACATACTTAATTTTTGAAAAAACTTGTCTATATTTGGGTCTTAATGTTTTTGGTACATGCACTAGCTCAACTAATAATAATACAAACATTCGGAAAGCTATCTCAATTGTACAACCTTGTGACATCCCAGGGTTTTGCCTTTACCACAGGCATTCTTGTGGAACGAAAACTACGACGCCTAGTCATATACCCAGGTATCACTAGCTTTGACTCGTATCGTAATAGACATCGCTTATCTTCAAGAGACAACCAACCAGCAACTCAAGGTGGAGGAGCCCATTTCCCAGCTTTGAACTCTTTATAGAAGCTGGAACGTTTAGAAACAACAAAAAACACTGTCCAGGAAAAACCAAACAATTGTCATAAGAAAAAATGAAAGGAATGAAACTGATACAATAGTAACCGTGTGCTAAAGAAAGACCTGGGATCCCTGGAATAACAAAGTTAGGTTCTTTCAGAACATCATGAAGTGTTCTTTTCTCATTTACTTTCACCCATCTAGAGGAACCTTTGCCTGACAAACATCAGATAAAGAAAGTTCAGATAAACTTGTCAAGAAAACGAAATCCTAAGAAAATGGGACTCAAATAATGTTTCTTTGCAATTAATGAGTACAATAGTTTTTTATTTTATTTTTATAAATGGAACAATTTTTCACCCTACCTGCTGAGCTGCCACCATTAGAATTCTCATTTGCATCATTTTCCTCAACACCGATGTTTTCCACATGAGAAGCTTCAGTGCCCTCTAAGAGACAACGAAGAATCTTTGTTGTTGACAGAGAAACTCCTGAACCTGCCTAATAAATCAAGGACATAGAAATTAGAAAATGCACAATTAATTTCATCTTTAAAGATACAGAAAATTATTCCTTGGTGACATACCCACAAAGATATGGAGATAACTAGATTTATACAAGTTCATTCATACACCTCTTTTCCTACTCTTTGATGCACGGGCATTCACAGGAATCCCCAGTAGGTTCTATTAGTTACACTTTCACCTCAATTAACTACATTGCAATACAAAGGAAAAGTTTGGCATTTCAACAAGCCAGTGGTAATCTCATGTCCTAACAATTAGAAACCAAGTGAACCAAATATCTAATCACAATCCTGCAGCATGCAAACTAAAGTCCAAGAAACATAACCTCAAAAGAGTGGATAGCAGCACCCTAGAATCAGATAATATGTTTATGTCAACCCAACAGTTATGGCTCATGCCACAACATCCAGTTCTACAGATTTAATAATTATCATCGCTTCGTGTAGCTGATCTGGTCAAACTCCTGAGACTTAGCCAATTACTCTCAGAAGTCAAATATGATGCAAGCAATCCAAAATATAGATGAACTTGCTCATTTTCCTTTGCTAGAGAAGTTCAATAATACAGAATATTAAGAAGATTCTTCAGAAAGCAACTTCCTTGTAATATTGAGTATATGTAAACCAAATTACAACAAAATAAAACGACTTACTTCATAGTATAATTCAACAGCTTCACGAGTGTAATTGTGTTCCTGATCCCATGACAAAGGCTTGCAGCTTTCTGAAAACATGTTTGAAAGTTCAGGAAACCACAAAATGCACGTATATCCAAAAGCATTGGATGCTACATAGAAAACTCATAGGCAATTCAACTTCAAAATATAACATAACACTTTAAAAGAAGGATATCATGTCCAGATGAGCTGACAACATTTCAGTCTCACAGAAATCCTCAATGAAGTCACTGGACATAACCTCTGCATACAGCAGAAGAACTGGCCAATGTAGAATATTATTCTTATCTAATACAGGCTTTCTTAATCCTGTAAGTTCTTGATACATTGCCTTCCCAATTTTCAGTCCTCTACTTTCGATCGCGGAAACAAGGTCCTGCATAGTTTCAACAAAGAAATAAACATGAGCCTGAGAACAATCACAAACAGTTCATTCATCATTGTATCATTCCATTACTAATAATATAATCAAACCTTAGCCCCTGATATAGCCTTGGAAACTTGAGCCTCACGCTGTTGGTTTTCCATCTTCTTTGACTCAATCTGCCTTAACAGCTTCTTTAGCTCTTCGTTACTTGGGTCATGCTTAATCCCATTTTGGCAATGCAAAGTTGATTCAGACAACAAGTTCAATGCAAAAGACGCTTTGGCAGCTCGGTACAAAGCCTATTATCAAAACCCATATTGCTAAAATCACAAAAAAGACTAAGTATTCAAACAAAGCCCATCTGAGAACAATAACATGGTAAAAAATTGTGCACCTTGACATTAGTGGAACAGAGCTTAATTGCGTCCTCAGCATCAGTAAGAGCACGTCTGTAGTTACCAAGTAAAAGATTGACATGGGCCCTATTTGAAAAGAGAATAGAGGTGTCAGAGTCACTCAAAGCTTGCTGATTTATTGCTCTCGTGTAGCAATCTATGGCATCAGCGAAGTGCTTTTTGCCCATCTTCACATACTCGTTACCCTTGTCCTGCCAAACCCAACAAAAAAAATATATATGAAAAAACAAAGACAATATAATCCTATCAAGTTCTTTTATTGTGTGAGAGAGAAAGAAAACCTTGAGTTCAATAGCAGTATTTTCTTTGAGAGCGGCTATGGCATCAAGGTCAGCTCTTTCGCTTTCGGTTTGGGGTTCAGACCCCTTTTCCATCAATAGTGCCATTGCTTCTTCAAATTCGCTTCTTTTCTATTTTGCTTTTCTTGTTCTGCTTCTGGCAACTAGCGACTGCGAGAGAGGCAGAGTATTGCTAAAACCTTAAGCAGAAGCTGGGACTTGCAGACTTTGCCGGGCCGAGTTTATGTTTTCCTATAGGCCTTTCATGTCATTTGGATTCTCAAGTGATATTTTGAGTGAGTCTCTCTCGAGGAACCTTAATTGAGGACAGATCTTAGCCGTTGGATGAAATTGGACGGCTGGATTAAAACACGGCTTTTAATAAGGTTTCGCGTAGAATCAGGTAAAACAAAACCCATACATCCATGCCCATCCCGAACAAACCAGAGACCCATCCTCGCACAAGTCATATCATCTTCTTCCTCTTCCTCTTTCTGCACCTTCTTCTCTTCTCTTCTCTTCTCCTCCTCCTCCTCTCTCTCTCTCTCTCTCTCTCTCTCTCTCTCTCCACATGTGAGTCTGTCTATGCCACCATCTGCAGATCAGCCTGGAACAAAAATAAAAAATATAATGAACTTTTCAAGCTTCACTCTCCCTCATCCATAACCCAGCGATTCTTTCTGCTTCACAAGTAAACATTTTTTCAATCCACAAACGCCCAAAAAACCAGAAATTGCCAAAAGAACACCAGATTGACCTTAAAAAAAACAAACAAGACCGTAAATTTAAGAGAGACGTATACCATAACTGATGGTTTTTTTTGCCCTTTTTCAAACAAGCCGATTCAACACAAACAGAGAGGTTTTATAGCCGTGCGGCTATAAACAACCGTATCGGCTATACTCATAAATAGTATAGCCGGACGGCTACACCTATTTGACATGTGGGCACCAAATAGCTGGGCGAACAGTATAGCCGAGCGGCTATAACCGATTTTTTAAAAAACACGGACAGCCGAGCCGCTTTACTGTGGTTTTTGTTTTAATTCTCTTTTAATAAATGGTGTAGCCGACAGGCTATACCCTTTTTTTAAAAATAAAAAAAAATTGTACAGCCAGATGGCTATATTCGGTCTTATTTTCACACGTGGGCTCTCATTGCTGGTGCGTCCTCGTTTGTTTTTTTTTTTAAAATAGTATAGCCGTCCGGCCTTACTAGGATTTTATGTTTTAATTTTTTAAAATAAATCGTAAAGCCGAGCGGCTAGACTGGTTTACACGTGGCGCAATAACGCTAGGCTATTTTTTTAAAAACATATATAAATAGTAAAGCCGACCGGCTATACAGGGGTTTTTAATTTTGGTTAGCAAATAGTATAACCGCGCGGCTATACGCGGTTTTTCGTAAAAGTAGTATAGCCGACCGGCTATACCCTTTTTACACATGGCGCCTAATTTTGTTTAAAAATCATATAGCCGCGCGGCCATACCTGGTTTCCTAATTTGTTTTATAAAATAGTATAGCCGGTCGCCCATACTAGCCGCGCGGCTATACGTATTTTGACACGTGACCTAATCGCTCTTTTTTTTTTTTTTTTTTTTTAGCCGTCCGGCTATACCTGATTTTTTTTTAATTTTAAAAAATAGTATAGCCGCTCGGCGTTACTGAGATTTTTTGTTTTAATTTTTTTTAAAATAAATAGTATAAGCCGCTCGGCTATACGATTTCTTGTCTACACATACGTAGAGAATCTAATTCATTCACAGAATCATAATTTTATGGCATACGACGCTCAATGTCTCTCCACCTCTCTGTCCTTCCATTCCTTGTACAAGGTAAGCTCTCACCGCCGCACTTTTCTATTTTACTGTTTGATTGCCGAGAAAAGAAAACCAGTGATATTCAAAATGTAATCAGAAGAAATCAATGTCAAAATCCTTCTCCCCATCAAAAGCCCAAATGCTGCTTTTGATAAGCTTTCCTCTTCAGCTCGTTTACTATGTTCAATACTTTTATATTCAAAATTCTTGGCCAGAAAACGTTAGAAAGTGGCCTAAAAGTCAAATATTGACTCAAAAGTAATTATATATATATATATATATATTTGTTGATTTAATTTGATGTGTGTTATTAATTAATTATTTTTATTTAAACTATCCCTGGATTATTTTTTTATTGGAAGAATTTTATCCCATTAGGATTTTGAGTTGAGTCCAATCGGTCATGGCTGCTTGAGAAAATGAAGGAATATCCTGTAACCCAATTTGAAATTTTAATTATTTAAGACCTAAAATAAGTCAAGTCAAATCACTTGCAAGAAATGTGGGGCGAAGGTTTTAGTTTGAACATTGCTCTCTGTGTGGTACGAAAGCATTTCATTCACTCTCAGTTTTCTTTCATTTTCTCAGAAACCAAACAAAAGCTAATAATCTATTCACATTCTGATTCTTTTATCACACATATACGACTATCGATGCTGCTATGGTTTCCATTCCTGAGTTGCACTCTAACTTCTTCATAATCTCTTTATCGTTAAATCATTACCAGTCTGTGCCGCAAGGATTCAGGCAATCGAAGGGTTTGAGCTTATTGTTGGTGAATTCGAGAATCAATAGAAACAAGCACACAAGAATTTTCATGGAGATGCAGGGAAATGGAAGTCCAACGACAAGTAAGCAGTCTACAATTAACATTCCACATGTACTGACTGTTGCTGGCTCTGATTCGGGTGCTGGCGCTGGAATCCAAGCAGACCTTAAGGCTTGTGCTGCTCGTGGAGTGTACTGCTCTACTGTCATAACTGCTGTTACTGCACAGAACACTGTTGGGGTTCAGGTTGCTATTTGATGTTGTTTTCCATGACTTATGCTCCATTTGGTTTCTGAGAAAGCATAGAAGAAGATAGAAAAGATAACAATTCCACTGACGTTTGTTAATTTTCCTTTGTTCTCTTTATTTGCTAGGGTGTAAACGTTGTGCCTGAGGATTTTGTTGCAGAGCAGATGAAGTCTGTGCTATCTGATATGCATGTTGATGTGGTAAGTCAAAGTTGGGGACTGCTTTAATTTCCACCTTCAACTAATTTTACAAGATGATCTGTTTTTGTGATTCTTGTCCAAAATTCTTTGGCATCACAGAAGTACCATCTATAAGCAATTGAAAACATGAACCATTTCAACTTTTAAAATAAGAGGCCCCAGGTGTATCTTAATTTTAATTAAATGATTAATAATAATAGGTTGTAGATTAGTTATATAGTTAGTGAAAAATCTATATGTCAGAGGTAGCTAATAGAACCTTATAAACGGAACTTATTACTTCTTTGTTTTCAAAGTTGATTTGACATACATTTTGTACTTGTAACTCAATGCATGTTTACTTGTCAAAAGATTCACGTAAAGCATAGGGGTTTGAGCTTCCATGTCATCTTTCTCTATTCACTTGTTTTGGTATGAAAGAGAAGTGGCCTGATAACAAAGATGTATGTGGATGTGTCTGTGCTTGTTTATGTAGTATGGAGACATCCAAAATATGAAATTACATTAAAAAGCATTTTAATTCTGGTGGGAAAAGCTAAGCTTAATTTTAATGGAAACAAATAACTACATGTTTGATGGAAAGAAGCATATGTTGTTAATTTTGGAGTTTTGTGTTAATGAGTGCAATATATTTCATCAAATGTTGTTGATATTTCTTTGTCGAATAACATTTGAAGGTTTGGTCATATTCATAGCATCAATATGTTTTGGGTGAATTGATTAGAACTTTTCGTGAATGAAATTGCGGTTTCTTACATTACTTTTACTTAATGGATTGCTGATGTTGTAGGAAGACTAATTGTCTGTATTTGGCAAATTTAATTAAAATGTTCTTTTGAAAGCTCTATTAAACTTTTTTGAGCTTTCACTAGCTCTGTACTTGAGGCATGGCTCTTTTGCAAACTTGTTTATATCATGAAATTGTATTGCTACTAAAATGGTTTTGACATGCTCCTGATATGCCATCCCTAGGTGAAAACTGGTATGTTACCTTCGATTGGTATAGTCAAGATTCTTCATCAACATCTTAGGGAGTATCCTGTTCGAGGTATGTTGTCGTATTAAAAATTGAACATGTCTTTTTCTGTTGTTGCTTAATTAGCATTTTAAATGAATTGGTGTAATCATTGAAGGCAGCTTTAGTGGTTGATCCTGTTATGGTGTCTACAAGTGGAGATGTATTGGCTGGTCCTTCTGTTCTTGCTGGGTTCAGGTATGACAGTCTTTTGTGCATAACATTGAGTACATTCATAGTCCTGTCATGTGGTTGTTCTTGCTTTATGCAAACCTCATGGGGCCTATTTGGCAGAGTACTAGGTTGTAACCATCTTTTATTTGTCAGAAAAAATAAGAGTATAGGTGGGCTGTGCAACTAATATTTTGCATAAGCTTGACAGGGCAACTTTTTCTGAAATGCAGAGAGCATGTTAAGTAGTTTGAATGGACAGTATGTTTTGTTTATTACACGTTGAGCACTTGAGCTAGCTAAGCTTTGGTGGTCCATCATCATACAGTTGGTTTCTTTCACCCATAAACCTTTTGGTCTTTTTTGTTTTTGTGGATAATTTTTTGTCTTTCTTATTTGTAAGTAACATTGATATGATCCTGTTTCTACTAAGAGATTAGGCTCATAAATATTTTATGGCTTTGCACAAGTAAGTTAAAGGATCTTTGCCATGATATAAGAACATATCAAACAACCAAGCTAATCCACATGCATACCACTAGTTTTTTCCTCTTTAAATTTTAATCAACAAAGCATTTTCTTAGTTTTACACAAATGTTAGTTTCTCATTGCTTCTAGAAACAATGTCTACATTCATTTGCTATATAAATTTTGATTGGGTTATTATTATGATTAGTTCACAAACACAATGAAAATGTAGAATCCAGATATTCAATTACTAAAAAACATGCATTTAATATATTAAATAGTAAATGCAAAAAATATTTTTTTATTTCGCTGAACTCTAACTAAATAAATAATATATCAAATGATTAGGGGAAAGATAAAATTTTACATATGGACATTTGAAAAAATAAAACTATTCTGCAATTTTGTTTTTCGTATGTAGCTGCTACCCACAGCAATTTGATAGTTTGTTCAGTTATGGTCACAACAGCAGCTTTTTTATAAGACTCTGCGATAACGGCTCTATTATTAACATTAACTCATCTGAACAAGCATTCAGTATAATATCCTATTCAGTTGTCTACCAGTCTGTTGGAAATTTATTTCCTTCACCTGTGCAGTGTTAATAAGCATAAATATTTGCATAGTTCTTATGTGATTAAACTGCTCCTTCACCGTTTTGCCATGTTTTTATTTCTTGGCCAATTTGCTGCTGTCACTGGATTCTTTTTCCTTAAACTAGAGAGAAAGTCCCTTATGGAATGGTGTACTTTTTAATAATTTTTATTTTTGGGTTCCTGCTTGCAGAGAGGAGCTTCTTCCTATGGCCGACATCATAACTCCAAATTTAAAAGAGGCGTCTGCTTTACTTGATGGCGTGAAAATAAAAACAGTTTCTGACATGCGTTCTGCTGCAAAATTGTTACATGATATGGGCGTACGGTTAGTTATTGGAACATGCTTGACATCTTCAGCTCTTGCTTTTAACCCAATGATTTGTAAAGCTCTTGTTTTTTGTATCTGTTTCA